TGCCAAGGGAGGAAAAAGTGCCACAAAGAGAGGCTCACTAACGTTAGCTTTAATGTTCTCTCGTTCAGCTATCACAAATGAGACCTGTGGGTTATGGTGGATCTGTGGGCGATGGGCATATAGACAGCTTCCCCTCAAGTGGACAGGAACTTGTTACCTAGGAGCTTTGATCCCTGGTGTTTGGATAACCCAACCGACCTTTCCCGATATCCAGACATCACACCCCAGAGCTTATCGTATCAAACGTAGCTCTGACAGTTCCTTTGAAAAAATAGCCGCAGGGGGAGGTCAACGATGGGGGACTGATGAGTGGCCAGCGGAAAGGATCATTCAATATTATGGTCCAGCTACTTGGGAACCAAACGTGGTTGGGAGGGAGCCTACCTACCTAACCAACCGCATTATTAGACTTCAGGCTGTAGTAGAGATAGTTACCAACAAAACTGCCGCAGCCCTACGCCTAATCAGGAATCAGTTGACCCAGCTACGCACCACGGTACTGCAAAACCGTCTAGCTCTTGACTACCTACTTGCTAGTGAAGGTGGAGTGTGTAAAAAGTTAAATTTGTCTAACTGCTGTGTTGAAATTGATGATAACGGTGAACTGATAAAAAACCTAGCAGACGACATGGAAAAGGTAGCCCATGTCCCTGTCCAAACATGGAACGGGTGGAGCTTTGATTGGTTGACATCTTGGCTCCCTCAGTTTGGGTGGCTAAGAGGTGCTTTGCTGGCCTTTTGCTTATTAATGACAACACTTTGTTTGCTTCCCTGTATCATACCCTGCATCATGGCCCTCCTGAAACGGACCGTTCAATCAGTTGTCAACCGCGAGATGCTTGTGCATTACCAAAAACTAGCAATCACGGACAATTATTAAGGATAGAGTTAAAAAGCATCTTGAGGGGGGGAATTGTGGTAAAAATACACCATGACCTAGGCCTCTCTTGAGTAATAACCGTATGAGCCCCTCATGATCCCTTGTGTAAGAAGTACGAGGCCTAACGACTGAGTTGTGGGTTTCTTTTCCTTCTTGCTTGCTCTGCATTTTATAACCGTATTGAACTAATGCCCTGAAGTTATACTAAGGTATAAGGTTATTAGAAGACATTAACTCTGCCGCAGTTCCCCTTTTCTTCTGCGCATGCGACAGAACTTTTTGCCGCAGTTCTGCTTTTTAAATACGCATGCACTAAACTTGACAGGGGATACTAACCAATAGCAAACTAAACCTCGCCCATAAGATAAGACGTAACACCTAGGAAATTGTGGTGCTGCCAATAGTTGTATGGCACGCGATAACCCTTTGTCTATGTAAGCTATAAAAATGAAATCTCAAGAGAAGTTCGGGGTCAACATTGATTAGAGCATCAGCTCCTCTGTTGACATTGCTTGCGCAACCAATAAACTCATGATGAACCCACCGTGTGTGTGACTCTCTCCTGAAGGTAAAATTGGCTTAGCCTCCAGGGGCACGAATCTAGCCATTTGGGCAACACTTTGGACTCGTTCCAATGAAGGTCTTTTTGCTTTTGCTTCAGTCTTCCTCTTAATAATGCAGCCCCAGGCCCGAGCACGTGAGTAAAGCTTCTAGTTTTATTTTTAACTGGAGAAAAACTGGTGGTTTCATGTGCGGAGAATGCTGCACCGCACCCCGGGCTGGGCGTGCACACGTGCGCGCATGTCCCTAGGGTGGCTCAGCCCCCGCCGCTCCTGTCTGCGCCGCCAGGG